TATTAAGGCAGGCGCATCGTCATGTTAATAAACCAACCTGTACAGCATGTCTGGCTTTTGCCTCCTCTGATTGCTGATGGTACTGGGATTGGGAAGGGGGTGGCGGGCGAGGAAACAGAATTCTCACCCACTTGCTTTCTGACGTCTGAAGAGCTGGATTTGGGATGAGATGCCATCACCACTCCTTGATGAAAGTGGCATTTGGTTTGAAGGAAGAGTTGCCCCAGCAGGGCATCAGAGAGGGGCCAGGGCCCCTGTGGCCAAGCTGCTCGCTTGCTCCCACGTGCTGTGCGGATCACACGGCTCTTGCCATTTCCCGTGTTCAGCCCTCAGGCCTCCTCCCTCCTGGAAGGGCCTGGCTCCCCTCCAGCAGGCCAGAGCCTGGTGGTTACATAACATCCCAGGCGCTGTGCCAGGAGGTTAGTGTTACGAACAAGGCAGCTATTGTGCACGTGAGTTGTGTCTCACACGGCCCGCTGGACCAGGACAAGGAAGCTGGTGCAGAGCCACGCCCACAGCACTGCCCACTGTCAATGGGTTTTTGAGTAAGGCTGGGGCTGCCCCTTCAGCCTCACCAGTGAGCTGACTCACTCTCAGCAGCCAAACAACCTTGAATCATCCTGTGTGATGAATTGCGGCCTCCAGCTCTTCATTCACTTGGCCAGCTCTGCAGCTGTCTGATTCCTTAGGCCTAGTTCCTCTCCCCAGCTTCAGAGTCGAACACATTTAATCTCTTCTTCTGCATGGGGGCTGTGATCTTCATCTAAGAGGGTAATACATGATGGACCACCCCCATGCCCAGGGTTCAAGGAAGCACTTCCTGTCACAGGAGAAACTGAAAAGTCCACCCCTACACACATTCCTTGACACAATCAGCAAGGTAGGCCATCTAAAGTGGTGGGTTTGGGACACTCTTCAAGAATGTATTTGACCCTTGGAGCACAATCTGCCAGGATGCTCTCCTGTACAAGCTTTGTATTTGTACATGGCCTGGTGGCAGCTATTCCAGCATGCCTAGCGTGGCATGTAAAGATCTAATTGGGTGTCCCCTGCTGCCATGCTGCCCACCATTTTGCTTGAAATGGTGATGCTCTACTTGCAATTGACCAAGATTTGAGCCTCACATCTTCCTTTAACTTTGGAAGTCAGACTTGGGCACTACTGAGTTTCACAGGGTGTCTTACCCATTTTTTGCACCAATCCTTGAATAACCCATCCATTTCTGTAATCAAGACATTCTGGTTCCCATCTGCCCTTTCTAATCCCATTAAAACTGGATCACTTCCTTCAGCTAGTCTAGTATCGGTGAAGCAAGAATGCTTGAACAGAGTGATACAACCCATGATGGCAATACTTCCACAGGGCTGCTGGATAAGGCCAGGTCCACCGGTCTTGATGAAGTAGCAGCTGCCTGTCTGGAGACACCCACTAAGGCCTCATAGGCCAATACAGGCGGAGCTGACATGATTTCTAGGGTGACTCAGCCATCCCTGGAAGGAGGTGGCTGCCAAGAGGCAAGGTGACCAGCCAGTCACCTGGATCACAAAAGCCAGGAGAGCTGACTCCAGTTACTGAGTCACTCCTCTAAGTTCAGGGTCCATCTGGCTTCCTCCAGCTCATGGCCCAGCTTACTAAGGGCAGGAAGGCATTGGCACAATGATGATCACTCTCATCATAAGAACATAGGAGTGGAGTGTGCATGTCTTCAGTATTCCACAGCCCCATCACTTGGCAGAAAACTTCTGGATTTACTTCCATAAAAACACCTTGGTTCTGAAGATTTCTGGGTTTTGATTTTTTGGGGACTGGGGGTTGACCAGGACACACCCCATCAGAGACCCTATCCCAAACCCACACATTGTCCTGTCAACCCCCCTTTTAAAGGAACCTGGATTTTGACAGCTGTCAAGCTATCGATACTCCTTTTCTCCCAAAAAGAGGAGAGTGCTTTTGTACTTTCCTGAGCACCTAGAAACTTGGAAATGCTGCAAAATGTGCACAACCGTGAGAACTGGAAGGGTGAAAAGTTGAGAACCTTGTGAAAGGGGCTTCAAACACATCACCCCCTTTTCAAAAACTACTCACACCTTTGGTTTTTCTTGACAACTTGCCATTAGATAGCTGCCAAGAGAAGTAAAAGGGGGTGGGGACTCTCTGGGCAACGTCCAGGGTTGATACCTACTGTGCCTGGGACATTGCCCCAGTCCGGACTTCAGTTACTTGCACTATGAACCTCTGCAGTCCTGCAAGTTCTACTAAACGCCAACAAAAACAATACAAATCTACAATGTGTTTTTATGGACTCCTGGCAGTCTGTCCAAGGAGCAACTTCAGCCCTTTGAAGGAGCTGTCGCTGGATGTCACCACTGGTATTGGTAGCTCCTGCAATTATTAGTACATAGCATTTGCATTCCCCTTTCTTCTTGCACAGAACCCAATGTTCCATTCCATTTTATACTCACAAACTCCCTGTGAAGTGGGCCAGGCTGAGAGAGAGTAAGAGGCCCAAAGCCACCCAATGAGCATAATGGTTGTGCAGGGACCAGAACTCAGATCTTCCAGGTCCCCAGTCCAACACTCCAACTACTACACTGACAATGTCCAGAAAATAGAAGTTTTAAAGGCAAAAAGCTGCATGGAAGCAAAACAGTGGGGGAAGCAGGAAGTTGGTGCCAGCCACCCAGAAATGCAGCTGGGGACCCATCGGATGAGTGGCACTGGCAGTGGCCAAGGTGAGCTTGGGAAGAACAGAAGCAGGGGAAGTTTCCTCCTTGCCAAGCAACAGGTCACTGGACTTTACCCCCTGTGGGATTGGTCATCTAGGTCTGGACAATGTGGCAACGCACCAGTGGCTTCCTTTCCAAGGCAGGTTGTCCTGACACATGAAGCAGATCAAATTCAGACACTCCTTTACAAAATGGTCTGGGAAGTAATTGGGTTTTGAGAACATTAAATCCAAGCTGCAATTTGTATGCCATTTGCTTAGGAGGATGCTAACATGTTTTTTCACGAGCTCTGCTCCATAGTGCCTTTAACAGAGCACTATGAAACACCCAAAAAATTAAGCAGGTGATACTTTTCCACTCTGTTTCATCTCCAGGTCAGGAAAATTGCCACCTGCCAAATGTCAGCATGACAGACTGCTGCCAAAAGGAACAGGTAAACAAGTTAGCTGCCTGATTTGTCTGTATCTGTATGACACTTGCTTTGCTGAGTTCTTCACATGCTCAAGAGCAGTGATGGCCACCTTGTGGTCCCCCAGATGTTTTGGCTTACAGTGCCCGTCAGGGCTAGGCAGCATAGCCAATGGCGAGGGGAGATGGGAGCCATAGGCCAAACATCTGCAGGGCCTTGAGTCAGCCACTCCCACCCAAAAGCCAGAGCGACTCCTGCAACATCTGGAGCACTATGCATCCCAAAGCCCATTTGCCTGGCTAGCTCACTCTCAATAGAGAGCAGTAAAGAAAGCAGGAGGCTCTCCCAGGCCTGCCCCCTACTGCCATTTTGGCTACCGTATCACTGTTTTAGTCCTGGTGCCGGCGGCTGCCACGGCGACGTAGGCCAGGTGTTCTGTTCTGGTGGGACTGCTTTCCTGGCACACCCCTGGCTGGCACCCCCCCCCCCAGCATGTGTGTTTGTGCAGGCAAGGAGAGGGGGAGCTGATGACCTACTTTTGCTGGCACTTTCTTCTTGCCCTTGTAAATCAGGGATAATCCTCCCCTGACCCAGTGATGCTGATGCTGCAGAACAAGGAAGTGCAGCCCTGGGCCAGGAGCCACCAGCCTTCAAAGGGATGCAAAAAGCGGGGGGGGGGGGATGGATTAAGGCTTCCCACCAGGGGGGACAACGTGGCTGCTGCTGGGGCTCCAGGGACCCACCCTGACTTAAGTGCCCAGTAAGTGGGCGCATCAGAAAGAGATCAGAAACCTTCAGTGGAGGTAAACACTCAGACCTTTAAAGCTGACACTTACCCAGTTCCCCAGAAGCAGTTTGGCACATTTGCCTGCCCTCTGCCCCTGCTAGTTGGAATGTGATATATGCAAATGCAGTTCCCCCCCCCCCCGCCCTGCTTCCTCCGCACCATCACATTCACATCCCACCCACAAACAAATGGGCAGCAACAGAAGTCTCTTATCTTACCTGATCCATAATAGCAGTGACACAGAACAACCATGTTTGGAGGCAGTTTACCTCAGATGCTGAGGAGGGCAAAAACAGGGCACCCATGTGGCTTCCCTAGAAGCATTTGACTGGCAACTGTTGGAGAGGGGAGAATGAATTTGATGGGCATTCTGTCTCCTCTTGCCTTTGGGTATTTCTGTATCCAGCTGCTGATAAAACTCTTTCCTTCCTTGTAAGCACTAAAAATTATCAGCCTACGTTCTGAGCTCCACTAGTGCTTTGCCACCAGGATCCTTCTCTGATATTAAGCCATTCCTTCTTGAGAAAAACAAACTAAATATCAACTCCATAAGGGACCAGGCCAGCATTGAGTTGTCTGAAGCAAATAACAAGAGGTGAGAGTCAATTCTTGGCATACTCTGCCCAGCCTCATCAACCTTGCCCATGCTCTGTACTTTTCATCTCCAACACTCAGCCCTCTGTCACAAACACACACGCACACACTCAAAGTGCTTTTCCCCACACTGTCTACATTGCGCGCTCCCTGCTGCATTGTCTGAAACCAGGGTAAGATTTCCTTATCCTGTCAGGTTCCTGAAGAATATTTCCTCAGCTGCATGCTGTTCCTAAATGTAGCTTTTTGAAAGGGCATTAAGTTTTACTCCTTCAGTGTTGTATTTTTGTATAAAATGTATGCTTTTAACTTCCTTGTGGATCTGTCGGATGGAAAGGCACAATGTAAATATATTAAAGACTGGAAGTGCACAGGTACCCTTCCTCTGTGACATCACAACGCCGTGCAAGAGGATGGCCACCTCTTCCAGCTCTTGGTGCAGCCTTTCCCCACTCCAAAGCAACACTCCAAAGCTTCTAAGAGTTTCTTGAGATTTTCTGTACATTTATTTTAGTATTTAAAAACACAAATATCTCTATTCAACCAAGAAGCTCCTGACAGGGAAAACAATGCAGTCACTGGCAATCTTCCAACTGCCCCAGTAGTAATACTCAGGAGCCTCAGCACCAGGGAAGGGTGGTTTGGATGCCAACTTTTCAGTGTTCTCTGTTGAACATGATCCCAAAACCTGCTTCAAGGAACAGCACCTTTGGCAGCCCCTTGAGCAGCCAGCCAGCCAAGCCTAGTGAGACAGATCACCTCTACAGACGGAATCCCAGGGACTAACACAGCAGGGGTCCCACCACCCTCCTGATCTCTGTAGTTCCAGAGCTGGTCCTTGCACGGGACCCTTCTCAGGGCCAGCTCTTGTGGGATGCCTTTGTGTCTCACGATCACGACTTCTCTTGATTCCAAAGCCAGCAGCCCTGGGGTCTGTCCAGGCCCTTTCCTCTCCTCTCCTCTCCCCAGATCCACAGATCATCCGGTCATGTGGAATTTCCTTCCTATCCAAAACCCCAGGTCAGTTTTTGAAAAACAGAAACAAACAATCCGGATCTTTGCACACACCTGCGTCCCCTTCAAGTGGGCCTGGGGCCATCGTCATGGCAGCCATCCTCCCACCGGCTGGCAGGGTCCTTGGGGACCACGTGGTCCGAGTGGAGTCCGGAGCTGCGACACAAAAGCCTCTCCATGGTGCTGCCAGAGGAGGGCGGCTCGTTGAGGAGCAATGCTTGCCGCACCAGGGCGGACACCTCCTCATGCCGGTCGCTGTCCCAGTCTGGTGCAGCAGGGGCCTCCTGACAGCAGCCGGCCGGGAGAGTGCTGGGACCAGGGAAGAGCTCTTGCACACCGCTGCTGTGCGCTCTGCACTTGAGCCGAAGCTTGTGAGGCAGAGCGGCGGTCTTGACATCTGGGTGGGCATCCAGCGGCACCGGGAAGGAGGCGGGTGAGCAGCCCCAACTGGCCTCCTCGCTGCTCTCCTCGCTGGTGTAGCCCTCAAAGGGGGACCTGGGCCCCTGGGCTTTCCTGAGGTGCTCCCCCTCTAAGTAACTGGTGGGCACACCGTAGGTCTGGACCGTGGAGCAGCAGTCGGGGTGCGTTTGCAGCCCCTCCTGCTGGCAGTGGGAACTGCGCTCTGGACAGGGGCTCTTGGGGGATGGGGGGGTGCAGCCTTCAGCCTGCTGTTCATGCTCAGGAATCAAGGGCTGCAGGGGGGCCACTGCAGTGAAGCCATTGGCACTGAAGAGGATGACCCCGCGCGTGACAGGGCCCTTGGGCGTAGGCTGCTGCGGCTGCGGCTGCAAGGGCGCATCCCCGTAGGCTCGGCTGACAGCCTGGGCTTCACCCAGGGTTTGTGGCACCGGGCTATCCCGAGACGAGCCGTCCGACATGTCCGAGAGGGAGCCCCGGGGTGAATACTTGGCTGCCAAGACGCTGCCGCTGTCCCGGCTGGACTGCTCCGTTTCAGAGGAGTCCTCCGAATGAGGGGCCCGGGACAGGGGCCCAGAGTACACGTCCCGGCTGCCACCTGCACACAGGTGTGCTGTGGCGCCTGCGCCAGCTGTGCTCAGCTGCTGGCTCTTCTCCATGAAGGCCGCCGTGCTGATGAGGCCAAAGCGCAGCTTGAGCTGGAGCAGCTCCGTCTTGAGCCGCACGTTCTCCTCATTGAGTGCCAACACTCTGTTCTCCAGCACCAGGTCGTTGAAGCGCCGCTTCTCCCGGGAGCGCTTGGCAGCCTCGTTGTTCTTCCGGCGCTTCTCCCAGTAGCTGGCATCTTTCTTCTCATCGGAGATAAACTCTCGCTTTCGCCTGCAGTTGGCACTGGGCTTGCTCTTCAGTGTCCGGGCTCGCTGAATCATGCCGTCGTGGTGGAATCCAGGGAAGTTTCCTGCCACACACAGCGTAGGTGAGCTGAGACCCTCCATCATGTGGAGAGGGACGGGAAGGCTGACAGCCGGAACGACGACGTCTCCTCCACACCAGTGTCCAGACCCGCTTTGCAGTTCTGCTGCCAGAAAGTTTAACCCCCAACAGCTGCCGCTGGAATGGAGGCTTCCTGCTAGCTTTGCACCCAAGGCTGTGATCAAGCTGTATTGCCAGGGCAGCGGCTTCCAATACGGCTTTGAGCTGTCCTCCAGGTGCAGCAGTCACGTGGGCCCTGAGCTCCCAACAGAGTGAAAGCTACTGTCCAAAGCAAGGGGACCATCTTCTAGGGCATCCACCGGAGCTGGGCTTCCCTCAGATTCCTTCAGCCAGACCGCGTTTGATTCAGGGTTCCGCAGGCTCCTTTTCAGGCGCTGGAGGGTGCCCTTTGATTCCCTGGAATCCGGTGGGGCTTCTCAGTGATACTCCAGCAGGCAGTGAGAGTAGAGATGTTAGTGGAGGGCAGGCACAGTGGGAAGTGAAGGGTGTCAATGGCAACCACTGTGTCAGGCCCAGAAGGCAGCAGAAACGCCTGAGGAGGAGGAAGGACACAAAGGGAGGGTGTTACATCTCTGCCCAGTGCTGTCACACACCTCAGGCTCCGTTTACATAATCTAGCAGGTTCAGACAGCGCTGCTGCGGCCCAGCATACATGCGCCACACCCCACATTCCAGTTCCCTCCAGAAGGAGAAGTGTGCTTGCACACAGTGGGTGGGGTCACCCCCTCAAAAACAAGCACAGGATGACGTACACAGACGTTCTGCCTGCCAGGCCACCCACACACACACACACACACAAGTGCCCAAGTGTGCACAAGCGTGTGTGCACACAGCATGTACCACGCATACCTACTGCACACAAATGATCCCAGCACTGGCAACACAGCCCTGTTTTATGTCATATGGACTGCATGTTATCTCTTCTGAATGTCAACAGACAGACAGCACACAGCAGGCAAAGGAAAAGCAGCTCCTTGAAAGTTTGCGTGGCTCAGAGGCAGCCTTGCAGCATGCCGCCAGACACCCTGGATCCCAGCCCCACCGCACCGTTCTCCCTCTCACACCGTGTTCAAGCCCACATCTCACCTCATCCACTTCTGTGCACAGGAACAATGCCTCTCTCACAGGCTCTGAAGCACACGATCCACTCCCCCTTCCTCTCACAAAGTGGCACACTCAGCCCTGCCGGCAGGTCTCAAGCCAGGCCATGACACCGGCTCCCTCACCTTTTCTTGCTGCTTTCGGGTAGACGGCTAATCCCACTCCTTCTTACCCTGGTGGGGGGGAGTGGGGGATTCAGCAGACGAGGGCAGGCTGGGAATCTTGCCCTCGGAAGTTACAGATCCAAGAGAGGCATGTCGGCTACTGGGGAACCGGGGCAGCAAGCAAGGTAGCCGACACCAGGAAAGCCAACACAACCACTCCTTCCTCACCACCGTGACACATACACAGGAATGCTGAAGCTCCCCTCCCAAGAAAAGCAGGGCCATGTGTGCGGAGCGGCATGCTCACCCATCATGCTGGCGCTCCCCCTTCCTTTTCCTTGCATGTGATCTACGTGCATCAGGCACAAGCAGCAGGAATATAGGTCAGTAAACACTGAATATTTATCAAGCTAGGCAGTCAAAACAGGCCTGATGATTACGGATTGCACAACAGCTCCAGAAAAAGAGAGCGCAGGCACAACGCCAGCAACCTACTGGCCTATAAACGGTTTCTGCACAGAGAAACAATAGGAGGCAGGCGAGGCGTTATGTGGAGCTGCAGGAGAAGCCACCGTCCATATTCTGACTCTCCTCTGTCGCGAGTTCCTGCTGGGCCTTAGCCCACAGCTCACAGCCCCTGTGGGCAGAGGGGAGGCAGAGCATGCGGCCTGCTTTTCCGGCTGCTCTCTGGGCTGCTTTACCTGTGATTGTTCCCTACGCAGATAATGTTGACAGAGAAAGCAATGAGAATGCCATGCCTAGCAAAGCTCAGAGCAAACGTAAACATACTGCATTTTTTTAAAGCTCTGTTTGTTTTAGGAACTGGAAGAAACTACGATGTACTCACCAAAGCACAAGGAGAAAATATTAACAGGAATTCAGGACCAAAACTTTTTTCTTTAAATTGCATATCTCTGTAACACTCTATTCCATCCCATGCAGTTCTGCTTCTTCAATATCACAGACAAGCACACAGCCCAAAGTTCTAAAATCACTGAATTGCCCCATAGGAAACTTAATTTTGCACTCAGCCATCAACTCCTCCTGCCCCCATACAAATGTCCCCAGCTAGGCATAGAAGGAGAGCTATCAAAAACAATCCTCTGGAGAGCAAAGGTCAGGATGGGTTGCTATGTGGCCATGTCTGAGCCTTTTGCCAATAGCTGGGAGCGAATCTGTCTAGTGTATACTGGGGACGTGAGAGACTCTGATGTTGCACTGGAGAAAAATTGGCCCCCAAGAATACCAGTTCTACAATCTCAAGGGGCATTTCACTAGATTGTGATTGGCTAGCACAGCCCTCCCCAGCCTGGGCCCTCCAGATGTTTTGGGCTATAACTCCCGTAAGTCCTGAGGCAGCAGATTCATGGGAGTTGCAGAGCAACACATCTGGAGGGCCACAAGTTGGGGAAGACTGGGTTAATGTTGACCACAAGAATCACACATAGCAGCCGAAAAAATCACCTCAAATTCACTGTCTAGGTCACAAAGGAAAGGGACAGTAACCTCTAGCTAGCCCTCTCCCTGCCCCCACATTATTTCTCATTCTGCATCAGGCCAAGAAAATAACTTTTCCAGCTAATCAACCCCAATCCCACACCCTGCTCTGCCTGCAGGCCCCGGCCTTGTGCCTCAGGTGGCACGTGGAGTGGCCAGCAGGCTGGGCAGGTTGGGTGTATGCAACCAGGATGCTACAAGCTTGGGCACGAATAGCAACATGACCTACTTCCCGATTTGCGTCACCTCCCTGGGGCAGTGGGGCTGACAGCCTGCAAAGGAGGTCATAGCCAAAGACCGATCTAAATTCTGATCTAAGCTCTTGGTTTAGAATTGCCTCTGCCTCTATACATATATTACTCTGTACAGACGAAAAAGGAATACATTTGTATGGTTACACAATGCCAGGCAGATAAAAGGAAAGTAAGAATGCATCTGCACATAAGTAGGGTGCTTTTCATTCACAAGTAATGAATCCCAGCCATCTTTTGCACACTTGCGGCTAGGAGGAAATGTCCTCCAAGCTAAGGCTATAAGATAGGTGCTATTTCAGATAGGAGCTGAGCCACAGCACTTCTCATTGTAGAAGCTGAGCTCTGGCTGGAGAGTCTCTCTGACAAAGATTGACTGACTGGTCTGAGGTTGTTTAGCTCAGGGAGAAATGGTGTGTGATAACACTGCAAATCACGAAATCGGGTTAGGGTTTTCTCCCTCTTATAAGCTGAAGGACAGAGGAGGTGTAGATCAAAGAAAGCTACACACCTGCATGCCCAAATGTGTGAATCCTTACACACCATTTGGCATCCCCCCCGCAACTTAGTGTTACAAAATTCAGTAGACTAAGAGAAACATGAGGAATACCTACAAAATGGGGGTTAGGGTTGCCATATTTGCAGAAGAAGAGACAAAGCCTCACTGAGCAACAGGTGCTATGTGGAGAAGCATGTAAGGGCACAGGAAGGGCCGGCTCTCTGTCCTGGTTCTTGGCAAAGGTAGGGTGGCTGGCTTTTGATGCTGTCCTGTGGCTGCCCCTTTGGCAGAGGCTTGATCTACAGCAACTGATACGGTGGCAATGTTTAGGTCTGTGCCACAAAGAGCTGCAAAAGGGATGGGTTCTGCCTACGGAAACATTCCTCTGAAAGGCACAGAATGAAGCCTAACTGGAATGGATACTTTCATTGCTGGACAACTGGCAGCCCCCTCCAGAGGTCTGAAGACAGGGCTACCTGGGCTTACTTGATTGGGCCAAGAACATGCACCATGCTTATGAAAGCAGGCGAGGGCACAACCCTAGCCTTGTTAGTCTATGGGAGAGGGAGAGGGAGAGGGAGAGGGAGAGGGAGGGAGGGAGGGAGGGAGGGAGGGAGGGAGGGAGGGAGGGAGAGAGAGAGCGCGCGCGCATGAAAAAGAGAATCCTCTGACACTTCAAAGTCTTATTCACTGCAGAAAAGAGTTTACATGCATTCAAGTCCACTACATCAGATGTATGAAGAGTTACGTGTTGGCGTATACATGCACACATGAGTAGGGGGATTGTATACACTGGAGAACATAAGAAATCAGAGATTTCTTCAAATATCTCCAAAAAATCAGCTCTAACAGCTACAGTCAGGTTCAACAACTTGACAAGCACTTCCCACCACAGCTTTCACACTTGTAAGAGCAGCCCAGCATACAGAAAGGAAGCAGATTAAATGTCCACCACCACTTCATCACTGTAAAACAAGACAAGCATGCCAGGGAAAGGTGTGTGTGTGCAAGTATAAATATTTCCTATTTCGTCCTCTGGCTTGGATTTCAACAGGTCCTAGTCAATGTGGGAATTCCCTTAGTAAGCCAACCTCAGGCTGCTAGTGAGAAGGCTGCTTTCACAGGTCTTCCTACTGGGTGGATGATCTGGTTTGCTCTTCCCCTTAACCCCATGACTTGCACCTTCCAAGCTGCAATCCCCTTCTTTATGCTTCCTCTCTGTAGGGCTTCCCACACAACTGGTTAATGATGTAATATTATTACATGACAGCGTCTCTTTCCAAGCAAGAATGTTCTGTTCCTCTCCGGGCTGGAGCTGAGCCACCATAATTTGTCGTCTTGCTTTCCTTTCCTCATCACTAGACAATATTCCACATAAGCAAGTCTCTATACACCCTGCATAGGGTTGCCATTTCCCTCGACAGAGCTTTTTAACATGCAACATGGCAAGCAGAAATGCCATGGGGGAAAATGCACCAGTTGAATTTCTGGCTGGCAAGCCGCTTTTTTCAGGAAAAATGTGGCAGTCCTACAATATTTTGGTGTGGGGAAGGGGACGAAGTTCTACCTTATCTATGTAATACAGCCCAGGATCTCAAACTATACTATGGGCCAGAAAAAAGCAACAGGATTCCTCTGGAATAGCCAAGAGCAAACAATGAAAATGTCAAGATGCCAAAGGAGGGGGCCCACCTTTAGCAAGCAGTGGAGAGCTCCCGGGTTTAGCCAGCCTACCTGCAGAAGTTAAGCAGCTGCTTGGCAACTGAGCTCTTAGCTGGCGGTCACAGGCCAGGCTTACCTTTATTTTCAGGCAGAACTAACATCTATCAAAATTAGGCATGGATTGAGAAAATCTGGGTTGAGGCTGCCACTGAACCACTACATGGACTTGAGAAAATCAGTATCTCAGCGTGTGAGGAGTCCACCTATCCTGTAAACTTCAGCTGGAGCCCTTGCAGGAAGACTGAGATACAAATCTCATAAGTAGTACTGTTAGAGCTGTACAGGGCATGGCATACTTTGAGGTTCTCGAAAATGAAACCTCTGGGGGGAAAAGCACATTACAAGAGTTTGTTCCCTCAGTATTCACACTCGGCAAATGAAGGTAGTCACTATCCAGGCATGGGCCTCCAGGCCTGGCCTCGCCTAGCAACCACTAAGCTATACGTGGAGTAGATTTCACACTCGGTGTCAAATTGCATCATCTTGCATCTACCTTCTCACCAGCTTTCCAAAAAAGACCGGAGCCAAAGAGCTCTTCTCACAGGACAAAACATGTGTAACAGAGGATTTGAAAAAACCAGCCTCTCTCAATTTGAGCCATATTAAATCGCTCAATTCTGCACGTGGCAGAAGAACTCCTCCAAGTTGAATCTGATATTCCATGTTGTTCCCTATTCAAGCACATATGAAGAGAAGAAATCCTAAGAATATAGTACTACTTTGATTACACACACAATAGGCAGTGTGGCAAAGTACTGGGTTGCCCTTTTTTTTTACCTGTTCAGTTTATCTCCATTAAACAGCAAGCTGACATACAGAGATTAAACTGGAGAAACTTTTCCTGGGAGGGAGATAAAATGCTGTAAAAAGCTTCCTTTGCTTATTTTCTCTGTTGCAGTCAAGCTGCTGTTGTTAAAAGTATGGGAGTAGGTACAGTTGTTAATTGACCGGGGGGAAATGCAGCCTGCCCTGCTTCTCTCCTTCTGACAACAGTTTGCTCTGCAAAAACCAGCAGGTGAAGTTTTGCTCACATGGAGAAAGGTATTTGGAGCTCAAACTGCTGTCAAAGGCACAGAAACAGGGGAGAGGAAAAGACAACTGGGAAAGCTGAGCACCCCATGAATAAACCAAGTTGTGCTCTATTGTCGACTGGCCTCCCAATGCTCAAATTTCACAACTGTCTTTGCTACTGTGACCTCCTATTGGATGCCTCCGGCTCCCCCCTCGCTTTTGTGTATGCGAGTGCCTGGCCTGCTGAATGTTCTCAAGTGGGTAGAAAAGCCTTCTAAAGCAAAGATT